GATATTAATTCTCCACAAACTGATCAGTAGATTTCATTTTATGTAGATATAGGTAAGCTGGTTCTAAATTTATGTGGAAAGTCAAAGGAACTACAACAGCCAAAACAATTTTGAAAGAGAAAAACGAAAAGGATTGTACTACTTAATTTTAATTTTAAGACTTACTATAAGGCAAGATGGCATGGTATTAGTGGAAGGATAGAAATATAGATGAATGAAATAGAATAGAGTCCAGAAATAGACCCACAGAAATATAGCCAGTTAACTTTTAATAAGTTACAAAGGTAATTCAACAGAGAGATATTATGTTGCCAACAGATGGTATTAGGATAATTGAAGATTCATAGGGGCACCTGTGTGGCATCTGCCTTCGGCTCAGGGCATGATCTCAGGGTCCTGGGATTGAGCCCAGCATTGGCTCTCCGCTCAGTGAAGAGTCTGTTTCTCCCCTCTCCCTCTCTGTATTTCTCTCTTTCTCTCAAATAAATAAATAAAATCTTTTTTAAAAATAACAATTGTGGGACACCTGGGTGGCTCAGTGGGTTAAAGCCTTTGCCTTCAGCTCGGGTCATGATCTCAGGGTCCTGGGATTGAGCCCCACATCGGGCTCTCTGCTCAGTGGGGTGCCTGCTCCCCACACCCCCGCCTGCCTCTCTGCCTACTTGTGATCTCTTTCAGTCAAATAAATAAATAAAATCTTTTAAAAAATAAATAAATAATAAAAATAATACTTGAATATTCATATAAAAAATAAACCTTAGCCTATAATTCACAACGTATCTGGAAGTCAACTTGTTAAAGTCTATTTAACCGTAGATAATTTTTAAAAATAATAAATTAATAAAAGTAAAAAATATTTATGCTAACAGAAGATAATTTTTTTGCCCAAGTTGGCAGCTTATAAACCTTAAAGTTAGGGCAGTCTATTATATTGTTTATTTATTCATTGATCTCTCAGGAATTAGTAAGAGGTTTATACAAATAAATAAAAGTTATAACTACCTCGCAATAAATATTTTCTTAGATATTTTAAGCTCTCTGTAGAACTATTGTTGCTAAAGGTTTTTGAAACTAATCTTAGAAGTCAAGAACCTGGCTATTCAATTGTTTACAATTACACCATTTTTATTTCACCTTGAAATCCTTGTTATCATACCTAATCTAATTCATGAATGAGAAGAAAGGTCTTTCTCTTGATAATACATGTTACTTGAAGGAAATCCAAACAAGTCAAGTATATATCAGCTATCCACAAAAAGAGGTACATTAATTCTTGAATGGGGTATGTGGGGGATGGCCCAAGGATAAGGAAACTTCTGTTCTCACTTTATATCTCACAATCTATTCTTTTAAAAAAAAAAAAAGATTTTATTTATTTATTTGACAGAGGAAGAGAGAGAGAGATCACAAGCAGGCAGAGCAACAGGCAGAGAGAGAGGGGGAAGCAGGCTCCCAGCCCACCAGAGAGCCCGATGCGGGGTTTGATCCCAGGACCCTGAGATCATGACCTGAGCCAAAGGCAGAGACTTAACCCACAGAGCCTCCCAGGCACCCCTCACAATCTATTCTTTATTAGCTCTTCCTCAAGGAAGAAGGAGTTGTTAATCTGATTGTTCAGAGTCTGAAATTCTTTGGATGAAACCAGGGCACTGAAAAAACATTTGAATCTGTGGACATATGCTTTCTCACCCTGGAACAGGCCAAGAAATATGCTGAAATTTTCTTATATTCTTTTTCACTTTTCAACATCAAAGCCCAGTGGTTTTTCTTCTTTCTTCTACTTCGACTATGTCCATGAATGCATAATAATGCCTTGATTTCCACCCCCCAAAACTAGCACCATATGTAAACTCCAGACATCCCAAAACTTTTTTCCTCCCAAATGGAAGCTTTTTCATAGCCACAAACTAAGAAACCTGGGTCAATTTAGTGCTATGCACCAGGTCAAAATGTTTTTCTATATTGGTTGCATTTACCCTCTTTCATTTGGCTTGCTGATATGCTTCTAAATCTTCTCACATTGCTTTACAAAGATTCCACCTTCAGTTGTGGGGAAAGGAAGGAGGAGAAATGGATAAGAGATTCAGGAAAAACAAGGGGCCTCATTTTGTTTTTTGCCTCAGCCATGTGCCCCAGCTTAGTTTAATCTATATTTAAGGATAGATGTCACTTAAGGAGAAATTAATATATTTATACTTTATACCTCATTTAACTGTTACTAATTTTGCATCATTCCTTTAGAGAGAAGAAGAAATGCATGATAGGTTTTAGATAACTGAATCCTTAAATAATTAGGAGTCATTGTCCCTTACTAGTAAGGAGTTTAAATATTAAAATGCATAAAATGAAAATCCCCCTAAATTACAAAGTCTATGAATGGTATAAGAAGGAAGAAAAGTATAGAATTGAGTTGTCTGCACTATGTAAACCAAGAAACCACTCAAAGACCCTGCCCAGCTTAACCCCTGTTCCTTATAATCTGTAGACTAATTGAAACAAGAAAATGCAAGATTTTTTTATACCATGTAATAAGAGTGATTCCTAAGTAGAGTTATATAAATTTACAATCATTTCTCCTTCATTACATTGTACTTCTGGACTGAAAATTGCTTCCTGAATCTCTGTAACTTTTCACCTTTGCCTTTAAGGTAAGTGAAGAGGCAGCAGAATCATTCAAAGCAGGTCAATCCACATAGGCAAGGCCAGAAGTAGACCTCAGGATTCTTGTTTCCCTTTGCTAAAACCCAAAGAGCTACAATGGGTTTAGAAGGGCACAGTATCCACTGACCCAATTTTATGAACAGTTCCATGTTAACTTATTATATTCATCGTGGATTATTACTTTATTAATTTTGAAATAATCATAGCGCATGCCTCTGTTCCCTCCCTTCCTGGGTGGCTTGGAGAAAATGGAGGAGTTTTGCCTTGACTAGCACAAAACATCTGGATCCCTGATTATAGAGATTTAGAAAAACAACAGTCCTAGAAATGAGGCTGTAATGATGAAAATCTGGCAGAGTTCAAAAACAATTCATTGTTCTGATATTCTTTCAGAATAAAATCACTATATGAGTTGGAAGACATATGATCAGTAGATGAAAAGGTAAGTTAACACAATATTTTAACACCCTATTCTTATTGTCCCAAAATGCTTACAATTTTTAAGAAAAACTCGAAATTGAAGAAATGACCCAAAAAGTGTTTCCCCACAGGTTTCTGTAACATATCCTATCCAGGTCAATTTATACCATCTCTGACAGTTATGAATAACTTCTACATTCCCTGCAGGGGAAAAAAAATAAAACTAATACAAAACTTAGAAGAGAAATGGAAAAGTAAAGCCCTGTGAAAACAGTAGTCTGCTTCAGCCAGTTCAGTCTTCTCCAGGAATTACTCGCTGCTCATTACACAGTCTTTCACCCACAATCATGCCTTTAGAAAACGTCTGGTTAACTTCACTCAACAACCCCAACTCTGAACAACACTAGCCCATCTTCACCCCAGAAGTAGAAGGACGTTTCCCTGGGGCTACATCTGACCCTTGTCCAAAACAGCGGCAACCCCTGAGATAGAAAAGGCATTTTGTCAAGAAGATAGGTTCTGAGAGAGTCAGAGGACCCAGAAAATTCCAACTGAGTCTGGAAAGACTATCTGAAATCAGCCCGCCTGGGGCTGGTAAAAGAGAAATATTGCTTCGCTCAGAGGGTTTTGAAAATCAAATGAAATAATGGCATAAAAGTGCTTTACAAAGTGGTAAATTGTTTATAAATGCTACCAAGAACTATTTTTTTCAACTTCATAGGTCCTATGCTGATTGAATGTCCTTCACTGTACAGAACAACTTCCCCCCTTGAATTATTTGAAATGGTCAGCAGACAGGCCTCTGGAATTTCCTTTAAGTCATCATCTGAGTCACTGCCTGTGGTGAGTGTCAGGACTGACAGAAACTCACTCCTGCTTCCTCAGCTAACATCCTGTTTGGGGGTGGGGAGAGGGAACTTCCCCTTCTCAAGTTAACCCAGACTCAATTATTCCCTTTTAAAATTGCATTATACTTTTCCTCCCTAGCTACCTGAGGTCTAATGGCTACAGCAAATGCAAACAAACCTTTCAAGTGAAAGAACCATAACAAACTTAGAGTCTTAGTCCCCTCTACTCTTTTCCATACTCCCTTTTCCCCCACAGAAGTATTTAATGAAAGCAGAGCCTGGAATTTGAGAGAAAGACCTTGTTGTATGTACCCCCTAGAGACAGCTTCCTAGGTTAACAATGACCATGTTTTCCCCCAATGCTCAACTTACACAGACATTACTCAAATACACACACATGCACACACCAGTAAGCCGGTCAACTGCAGGCAAATCTGACTCTCCGCCAACTTGTAGCCACAGATAGCAGCAAAAGGACCAAAGTCCTTCACTGCCAGCTCCTAAAAGACACTGCAACAGCCAGCGGCGCCGCAGTAGCAGCTTCTGAGCTGCAGCCTCCTGCCAGAGTTTCAGGTCGAATTCCTTGAGGAGGAACGCTCCTCTGCCCTTAGTGGGCTTCACCCACTTCTTTCCTCAGGACATCGGGAGGAACCGGGTCACTTTGCCACTTTTGCAGAGGGTTAAGTGGCAGAGAAGAAGATTCCCACCGAAGTATCCCGAAGCCCACGACTCCTGGCCGGATCTCTCCACCCTCCCGCCCACGTAGGCGCCTGTGTGTCTGGCAAAGGTCCCAATTCTCAAGGTGCCTGAGCTCCGATGGGATGTGGAGGAACCAGGCGGCTAGAGCAGCGACGGGACTACAGCTGGGGATGGTTAGAGGACAGATGGGACGGGACTGGGGAGAGAGGCGAAGACTCTGCACAGAGGCACTCTCCCGCCCCTAGTTTACAGACAGTAACTCCAAAACCCGCAGATGGGAGTCAAGGTAAAAGGCCTTTTCTCCCTATGTTCTCCCTTCTCTTCCCCGATCCCCTCCTGGACACCTGGTGAAAAAGCAAGGTGCAGGTATACCTGGAGCGAACACCATGATTTCCTCCAGACGCTACGACCCTAGGTGAGGAGAATAGACAGGCAGACGGAGGGATGGGAGAAAGGCCAGGACTTGGAGGGGTCAGATGGGCGCAGATGGGCGTGCAGGGGCCGGGACGTTCAGCACCTCGGACAGCTCCCCGCCGCGCGATCCCGGGAAGCCAGCTCCAGCGGCCGCGGCGCGTTCACCCTCCACAATGCACTGCTCTGCCGGCGGCTACCGCGGCGGCGGGAGGAGGAGACCGAATCCTGCTCAGTTCATCCCTCATTCCTGTGCCAGCTCAGCGTACACTGCTGCTTGGGGAGCAAAACACTTCTATCGCTTCCACGGGAGAAGGAAGGACGGAAGAGGAAGAGAGAAAAAGGTAATTGCCCGGCTTCCCGGCAGGGGGACAGCTAATTGCTTCTAATTACCTGCTGTCTCTCGCCCCCGTGGATATTGGACTGACATTTAGAGTGGGTTTGCCCTTTTATATATATATATATATATATAATAATAATAATATATATAATATATATATATATATTTCAAAGAACTTTACTCTTGAGGATGACTCTGAGTTCTCCGGGTTGGGTGACTCTAATAGAGGGGTGGGGCTTCCGAGTAATGCGCCCTTGGGGTCCATGACTCCTCCCTTACTCTGAGTCTCAGTCTTCTGCTAACGTCAGAAAGAGAGCTAGAGGGAAGGACAGGGTGACTGGAGCACGTGTAGAGGGCGCCCCTATCAGGCCCCACCCCCCAGGAGGCCGATCTGGCCTAAACTTTGAGGCTCCTAAACTCAGAGGCTCTCAAGGTCATCATTTTAGAGAAAGTAGGGCTGGCCAATGCACAAGACCTCAGTGAGGTATGTCTTCACTGAGACACTCACACACTCCATAAAAGGTTGAGCCAAAAGAGTTCTCTTTAAGTATGAGAACAGCCCTGAGACTGATCAAGAAAGGTTAGTACTTCCCCTACTTTCATCCTACTGAGAACTGGGCCTCCCATACACACCCAGTTCTAAAGTGACTGGGACATGACTCGCACTCACTTCATGATTCTAATTCACTGCTCATTTTTAAATCATTATCTAGTTCCCCCAAGAAATGTTTGTGTAGTGTGGATAGCCCAGACTAGATGTTACCCAGCTTGGAACAAGTCTATCTGGGTTATAACCCCAGAGCTAACAAGAAAACAGGATTCTCCAGCCTCAAAGCAGATGTCAGGTTGCTTTGGGTTTTATTCTTTGTTTTTGCAGCTGAAAGGAGTTTTCCAAGAACAAAGGGTGATCTGGGCCATTTGCAATGTTTTATGGGGTTTCTTGCACCTCTCCCTGGAAAATACAGCTATCCTGGAAATATAATATTTCTTAATAATTTGGTTGGTGTCCATAAGTTCTACACTCTTTTGCCAAATTAAAGCATTCAAATAGCCTTATTGGCACTGGTTTTGTTCAAAGCCATCTGATAGATTTAGAATGCAAACAGTTTTACAGCTCTTGAACTGCAGTTTGCATGGATGCATATGGACAGCCTCAACACAACACAATCAGTGCTGCTCTTAGAACCTGGCTCAACACAGGCTTAAGCAGATGGAACCTGCCTCAGCAGCAGCAAGATACAAGTCAGCTGATGGGCAGGATAAGGTATGGACATGACAAGATGCAGTCCTGAATTACACCAAAACCAGGGACCAAGGGTGCTTCATTCTGTCTTCTTTGCTTTATCACCAGAAGTGCGACACACTCTGAAATAATCTTTGAATGACTGCAAGTCCTCTTTAAAAGGTCTTTTTATAACCTTTTTTCTTAAATGGGCTTTATTCTCTTCATGCATAGACAATTATTCATGATTAAAGTAAAGAGAAAGTAGTGTGGTATAGGAAAAGAGAAAAGATTTGAGGAGTCAGACTCAAGTCCCCCATTTACTAGTTGTGTGACCTTGGATAAGTCATTTAACTGTCTCATCTGCAATATAAGGATTAAGATATTGTGAAGGTTTGTTGTGGGGATTAAATGCAATGATGTATGAACAGATTAAATAAGAGAGCGTACAGCCCCAATTAAGCCCATTTCAGGAAATTGCTGACACATTGGGAACAGATGATACCCTACAGGAATGCAAACTAGGTTAAAAACTTCTCAAATATTAGTGGGCATCTAAATTCCATGGAGTTCTCCTTAAAATGCAGATTATGATTCAGTAGATCAGGGTGGGTGACAGATTCTGAGATTCTGCATTTCTAACAAGCTCCTAGGTAATGTCCAGGCTGCAGAGCACTGCTGGTCCATAAAATATATTTTGACTAGCAAGGTATTTGATGTATCAGCATTTAAAAAGAGAAAAACTATTTATGCCACCTCCAACCTCAGCATGTCTTCCTAAATGTTAAATAAGGAAGGAATGCAGGTATATTCCCATAGACTTCCAAGCTTGGCTTCCACAGAAGCCAAGACAGTAGTAGAAATAAAGAATGCCTGAAAATGGTCCCAAGAACATCCTTGATTAGTTTGCTATGGCAGCAGCAGGTAATAATGATGTAGTAAAATCTAATGCAACAGGTCAAGGACAAAAGAAAAATCTCCTCAGCCCGTTCTCAGCTCTTCTCTGCCCTTCTTTCTCTGGTGAACTCTTCATTTTCTCTACACAACAAAATATTGCTACCTAGTCACAGAACAATATACTTCCAACCCAGTGTTTGCTTGTTTATATTTTAGTTAGGGCAATTAATATTATACCCAGTAAAACCCAAGCACTGTAATACATTTTTTATTTAATTATTTCATCAGTAAATTTTATATTCAAGAATATCATCTCCAATTTTTGCTACCACTGGAGTTATTATTCTGTTGAATTAATTTAAATACTTTAATAAGGCTACTAGATTTTTTAATATCTTGGTGTAAATGATAAATTTAATAACAGACTGTCTGTCTCATAGGAAAAAAAGTTTCCCTTTTTTCTACCATTAGACACAGATTCTTTGATAGATCTAGTCTTAGTCAACAAGAGGCTTCTGTTCCCCAGTATACTCTCATTGTCTCTGTTTAAACACCTTCACTCAAGGCAACTCATTCTTTAGTCAAACAATCCACTACATTTTGAAATATCCATCCATCAGAGAGGCAGCCACCCCTTCCACCACCACCATCTACCTCAGTCCAGCTCTATCATTTCCAGTCAATGATAGCAATACTGATAGGAAGCAAGACAGTGAACAATTTGGACTATATACCCCAACTTCCTTGCTCTCATCCTGAACTTATCAAACTGTGCACTCCTACCTATAGACATTTGAACAAGGAGCTAGATGAACTGGAAGGCACAGAAGAAAAAGAGTCACTTAATGGAATCAACTATTTTTCTTGGAATCTTGGGAGAATATTTTATATAAAATGAACATGGTCACACTATGAAGTAGTGATTTATGGGATATACAGACATTAAATTAGAAACTCCAAAGAAACTATGACAGACAGATTAGAGCTATAACTCTCAAACTTCCCCCCAGTTCTCATCTCTTCCCTCTAACATTAATTTATTCTACTCGGTCTTTAGAGCTTTAAAAAATAGAAAAAATTTGAAAACCCATCTTGAAATACTCCCACTGTTTGCATTATTTGCAGCTCACCTTGGCTCCAGCCATACTCTGATTCGTCAGGCTCCATATTCATTTTAATGCATTATTCAACCAAGTATAATTTCAAATACTTTTTAGTATCTCTGAGGACAGTTGAAATAGACTGAAAAGAAGAATTTTCATCATGAAGCATTGAAACATAATTTTTTCCAAATGTCTTGGTTTGTAGGTTTCAAATGATTACAGAAATGAAGTGCTGGAAAAGGAAGGTCTCTTTTCTTCCAAAAACTGCAAGAAGCTCTTGAATTGAGCCTAGGGAAGGCTATAGAGGTGAATTGAGCAGTAATAAAAAAAAAAAAAAAAAGGAATGAGAGAATGTGACATAGACATAAAAAAAGAAAAACCAAATGAGGAAGAAGACACTGAAAAACTAATCTTTGTGTTATGCAATCTGTAAAGACTTAAAGCAAGGTAAAAATACATCTAGAGAGGGAAATGGCATAAATTGAGAAAAAAATGGAGATAGAGGATAGAATAAAAGGGAAGGGAAAATAAAATTAATGACTACACTGTTGTAAGAAAAGAAATGGGAAATTTTAAACAATGTTACAGGCTCAAAGAATACAGGAAAGTGTCTCTGTAGGTTTGCATTTTATGAAGCAGTGTTTAAGTCCTGTGAGATGCTTTAAAAGAGCCTATAACATAGCCATATTTTCTGAAAGGAAACATTAGCAACTATTGGAAAAAGTAAATTAGAACAGTTATAATCTTATAGTGTGTTTATGCACAATGAACATTTTCATGAAAAAATAAATCTAACATTGTTTGAAGACCTTTTTTTTTTTTTACTACCAAAGAGCTATATATCCATGTCCATTTTTGTACAAAAAGTTCTCCCAAGTTACACACAGAAAAGAAAGTTTTTACTAGATGACAGGAGAGGGAGACTCAATGAATTCAAATTAAAACAAATTTGGTGAGTTTTTAAAAAGCACGAAGTGTTCAACTCAATATTCAACTTTAAAATTGTAAATAGACACTATAAATCTTATTCAACAAATTCTGAATACAAAAATTTACCTATTTATTTATAAGTGCCACACTAAGTTGGGGCACCTGTGTGGCTCAGTCAGCTAAGCATCTGACTCTTGTCTTCGGCTGAGGTCATGATCTAGGGTCCAGCCCTGGGTTAGGCTCCCCACTGAGCTTGCGATTCTCTCTCTCCCTCTCCATCTCCCCCTTCTCTCTACCCCCCCCAGTAAAATAATATTAAACATAAATACACAAAATGCATAAGTTCCACACTAAGTGAATTTCAGAAAGGAAAATCAATGAGAAAAGAAATCTTCTGGAAAGAAGAGGTGGAAAGAAAAATAAGAGATAGGAAAGGGATATGAGAAAGGAAAAGAGAAGCAGCAGGAAATTAAGACAGAGTTTCCCGCTAAGAGCATATATAAAGGAAGAAAGATACTAAAGACAGAAAAAAAAAATGGCAGATTGGGAGATTCGGAAGAGACTTTTTAAACAAGAAAAATAAAAAATAAAAAACCTTTTTAAAAAAGTATAATGACAAAAATTAGATCCCCATTATAGTCCAAATTGAGATGTTGAGTGCTCTTCTTATATCTGGCTGACTTGGGCTGTATGTTTGGGAATAGATTTAATCATGACCTTTGGAAATAATAACTTTATTGCTCAGCCAAACAATAAGAATGAAATCTTGCCATTTGTGACAACATGCATGGCCCTAGAGGATATTATGCTAAGTGAAATAAGTAAGACCGAGAAAGCCAAATGATGTCATGTATATGTGAAATCTAAAAAACAAAACAAATGAACAAACAAACATAAAACAGAAACAGGCTCATAAATACAGAGAACAAAC